ATAGTTTTCCCCCATAGATTGCCTCATACGGAGGATTTTGCCATATTTGGCACGCTTGGCAATCAGTTTGGCATCCGCAATTTTCTAATTATTTTCGATTGTTATATCGCGTGATAAAAAAAAGATATATCGAAATATCCATATTTGTTTTAGTTCAATTTCGATATATCTTAAAATGTTGTATTAATGACAAAACATGTAACAACAAAAGGAGATATAAGAGTATTCATGTGTGGTTGGTTGTCGTTTTTCTTTCGTCGTCCAACCGTCAGTAATATAAAATTTTCGACTTTATCTTTACATCGTGCAAATGATGACGATATATCTATATATCGATATTTATCACGCAATATGCATCGATAGATACTGTTTAATAATATCGATTCGATGTATATCGATATATTTTTTCCCTTGCCCATCCCTACAACTGACGTATCCAACGCGGCAGGACCGTATTCGGGAAGTAGCGATGTATTATTTACTGCTTCAACGTGATGCACGTCTGTCGCAAAATACATTCATAAAGTATTTGTTGTTAGTGAATGCAATTAAAAATTTAAAGTTGTTCTTCTATGAGGAAGTTCGTAGCGTAGGATAGCAAAGTACTTGTTATAAAACAGTACAACGATCTATTGTTATCGTCATCTCTGAATGCAGGTTGCACGAAAGTTGAAATCGTGTCAAGATCGCAAACTTGAGATTAACTAGTAAGGTAAATATATTGTGAGATCTTTTGCTTATCCTAACGTTGACCCTGTAACTGTTCAGTAAGCTATTCCATCGATAACAATAATGTGATAATACAGCGCACAACAAAATATCAAGAGTGTTACTCTTGTATTCTCGTTAGCATAATTTTCTGTTATAATATTATTAGATGGCCAGGTTGATGTTATTCTGCTCTTTCCGACGGCATTAAATCCTGTAAAAATCTTTAAATTCGCAATAAAAAATATTGAGGATAACTTAAAAAGATAAAGACTATTCTATCTATTAAGTTGGACCAAACTGCACACAATGTGCAAAAATGTTGTTGCACACAATGTTCAAATTTCATTGAAATCAGTTCAGTGGTTTACGAGTTCGTAGCGAAAAAACAATGCGACACGTAGTTTAATACATAAAGATTATTAGTCTACTGAAACATGAATAACAATTCCTAAGGATAATCTTTGAGAAGCACCAAAGTTTCTCTAATGGATCGATGACCGTGGCGATCGTTCACCCTGGACGTGACGTCCGTTTTTTTTTCTTAAATAAAGAAATGTAAACTGGAGGCCTGGAGATTTATCAGCTTCGTTGCCCTCTCATGACTTAACTGACTGTATGTTATCGAAAGCGGAATCAAAACGGTACCAGATAAAAAAGATCTGCAATTTTTTTTACAAAGGTTTACAACAAAATATTGTATGCCATCAATTATTTTTACTACGATGATAAAGCTAATTTGTTTTAAAATCACTCATTGTATTTAATTTTATAACTCACAATTTGTAAGTAAACAGTCCAATTAAACACGTACATCGTAATTAACATTTAATAAGTATCATCATTTCTATCATCATTTACGAATTTTATTATGAAAGTTGAACTTAAATATTTATCCAATTATTACGAAAAACAATTTAGTTCATTTAAGAATAAATGTCACAAAACTTCAGAGAAAGAATGGATTCATTTATGAACAAGATGACGTAGCTAAACAACGGAAAAGGCTTTGAAGTTCACTTTCAGATGAATCATTAATTGCTTCGCAAACAAACCTATTCTTTACTATAGAGACTTATTGTTTTTTATGGAAAATAATATTGAAAAGAATATATTGAACTTTTTATGATTGGAAAATATAACTTATTTACTAGAGTAAAAAATGTTTTATCCATTCAAATCCACCAGGGTATGGTACCCACACGACGCTTTCATTTGTGTATTCTTGCTTATTGATCTATTCATCAGTCCAATCTGATTACTTCCTTAGAATATCGAATGTTGCTGCTTAATGCTGTTAACATTAGACGATAGATGAAAGCAGTAAGAGCAAGAAAAATAGTTTTAGTAACGAATAGCGGCTCGGCAGGTACAAAAAGGTCTTTGTGTGGAATAACATCTGACGTAAATAAACGGGTTACTGGAGCAGATTGTGAAGAGATGGAAGAGAACCGATGTTTATCGAAATTAAATCTCGCAACTAGTGAACAAAGCTATTATTAATGAAGTAAATGCATTATAACTACCACCTGTTTAACTTTTATATTTCCTTTATTTTAAATTATTACCTATCACCCTCTTACTTAAGACTGTGTGGCATTTCATCTAAGTCCTCAAGGTGACTAAGCATATGTAGCCTTCTTTGTTTGAAGTTGGCTGCAGATGTCAATGGACCGCAGTTGCCACTGAACATCAAGTGGTCTGAAATTTCGTTTGACACTCCAGTTTTACAAAAAAAATGTTTTTATATGGAATAAGGTTGACAAACGAGCACACAGTTGAAGGTAAGTAGATACTGTGACGCATAGACATCAGATACGTTGTCACCGCTGAGGAATAAGACGGAATGGCTCGTTTTAAGTAAAAAGAGTCTCCGTGTCTCCACACGCACTATACGAAACACAGCAGCATTAAGCTGCTATCTTACGATGGTATTCTGTGAGAGCGTGGTCCTTCCCCGGTCGCGCGGAACTATTCGTGCCACAACCATAACATAGCTGCGGCGTGGCTCTTCCACATATAACTTGGTAAAAGTTGTCAAGCCATGTGGTGGTAGAATAAAATACTCCATTACACCATCTCATCCCGTTATTGCAAAAGGTCAATAATAGAAACGCCAAGATGTTTTAACGTGCCAGATGGCTGTATAATCTATAATAATCTAGTAGTTATAACATATATAGATAAGATAATTGACCGACCAGTCTGAATATTGTATTCAGACCGGCGCCGGACAATTATATCAAAGGTGTAATACGCCTGGTACTGGGAGGGATCGAATATTCACCTGACAATCATGGAGAATAGATTACTATGGAAAATTCGATGTCCAGCAGTACAGGATGGTGAAGAAAATAAATTAAATATAAGGAGACATATTAAATTTACTCTTATTGTTTTAGTACAATTGTATTGGTGGGTTATTGGGCAAAAGCTCTAACCCATTTTTCTTAAAATCATGGTTGTTAAGACTCTTTAATATTGAAAACTATTTCTAGTTGTACTGACTCATTACATCTTTGGAACCATAAGGCCTAGAGACTTGAAATTTGATGGGAATATTCCTTTCGTCGAGTAGAGCTCATTTATACAGATTATAAGAAATTCCACCCATAAAGGGCAACGCGGGGGCGTTAAAAATAAAAAAAATAAACTTTTAATATATAGCTTCTAAGGGTTTTGATTCGAACGATTTTGATTAATGTTTTTTGTGTGCGTTTGTGTGGTTTGGGACACTATTGACGATATAAATGATTCACCCGTGCGAAGCCGGGGCGGATGGCTAGTATATATTATATATAATTATAAATTAACATCACAACAGCCCTTTACGCTACTTTTGAAAAAGACCTTCCCCCAATTTTTTTTAAATTACTGAATGATCTTCCCTCTATGGCCTTAAAACAATATAGGTTATGTAAAGCAAACATCAAAAAAGCTTTTAAGTAGATTAGTAAAATAATAATACATAACACACTTTATTTCTTGAGCTACATGTCTTCTTAGAAAAAGTAAAGTTCATTGGCGCGTCCCAACGGAGCGTTGACAAAGAGATTCTCACACCGCTGATGAACAAGACTGTGAAGTGGCGGCGACCTCGAGACTTTTCTCAGCATTGTGCTCGATGCTAATGACGTCTCTAGCACATTAGCGCTTTTGATGGTTCCATAAATTTTTGCACGCCGGTAAAGAACGCCGTCGAACGTTCGTCTGGTTTAACAAGCGATGTTTAAAGCGAGCGTCTCAAAGCGTAGACACAATTTAAGGGGATCCATCCTCCGCGTGTCTTTCGTTAGACGTTCATATGCTGCACTGACCGATTATACGCGTGACACGAATAGTTTGATACTTTTTTTTTAAACAATACGGACGACAAATGAGCACACAGTTCACCTAATAGTAACTGAATGCTGTGGCGCATAGGCATTTACACCTATTTTCGATTTAAGTATAATTGTGCAGATGCGTTGTTCCCCTGAGGACTAAGATGGAATGCCTTACTTTCCAGTAAAAATGATCCTCGGTTCTCTAGTTCTCTTGTACCATAAGAAGCAAGGCAGCATTAAGCTGCTAGTTTACAGTGGTAGACTGTGAGAGCGTGGGCCTTCCCCGGTCGAGCGCACTTCATGTTACAACCATAATATTATAACTGCAGCAGGGCTCTACCACGGATAAATTCAAAGACTTCTCAGACAGGCTCTTAGCACATTGAGCATTATTTTACGGTCAATTCTCCGTATCTCCTTTATTCGACTGCGTGAGGGTAAGAAGACAAGTTCTTTGCTATGGTAACCGCGATCGTTGTTTTCGACAATCTAACACTGTGACTAAGAAAACGCTGTCATTATTTAAGTGCGTACTTTGCCAACGTGATTAGAAGTAACTTTATTTCGTAATTGCCCAAAAACACTAACTGTTGTAAATGATAAATTGAAAATAAAAAAAAAACGCTACAATGCCACAGACAGACACACAGATACACACGTTAAACATATACCACCCATTTGTTTGCGACGGGGGTTAGAAATCCAAGTGCGTGGCATATTTATCGCGCCCGCGCGCTCCACAGCTGTGACAGTTTTTGCTCTTATTTGTCGATCTAGTAGTATATTTGATATAATTCGTATACCAAACAACTGAAATAAGTGACAAAAGGCATATAGTATAATTAAAAAAAATATAAATACATATAATTTGTGAATACAACATAATTAAAAACAACCCTCCACCGCTCGTATGTCGAGCTTAGCCTTAATGTGATGTTAATCAATCATTCTAATTGTTTGTTTCAGACAGTGCCGCTGCCAGCAGGCTCCACTTCAGTACTGGCGAAACCGACGAAATATCACTATTACCCTCACAATCAGCACATTTATTTGCTGCCGGAATGTGCTATACAGCAGGTAACATATAATAATTAAATACATATTTATATGAGTAGTGTAGCATATAATACATGTGCAGCAAAGCACGATATCCACTCCCGTCTGAACAATGCACAGACAATTAATCTTTTACTATCGCAGTAGGTCACGCGCCGCTCTACCATGTCACAAGTTCAGGGGCTTAATTAACCTCTCTTGGTTTTCCAAGAGGAAAACGAAAAATATGATTTAATGCTAATAGTTTATTGCAAGAATTTTAAAATAGTAAATTATTTATATTATGTTACTTTTTTGTTTTTAATTCACTTATTAAAACTTCTTGAAAGTTCACAGCTGAAAATAAGCCTCCTCCATACATTGACTCATAGGAATCCCCCTATTATAGGCCTTTGCCCTTATTGTCAGGCTTGACAGATAGGTTGACAACTGCAGTTTTTTTTATTATTTTGACTTGTTATCAAGAATATGCGGCGGTCCATGTTTCTCCTGTTTAATTTCTCTCTGTAACCTTTTAAGACGCCCACAGGATAGTTTATTCGCTTACGGCGCCACTAAACAACGATAATAAATTTACTTTATCTAATTTTAAGAAGTTTCTCCTTGCTTGCTGACGTAACCGAATCCGTTCAGCGTTTTGGTCAAAACTTTAGATTAAATCATTTCGAGTTTCTAACAGTTAATAAAGCGCGGGAGATCGATCTACTGTTACCTTTATGCCTTTTAAAAGATGATTAGAGATTGGAAAACAGTGTTAATTTTCTTTTATTTAGTGTTACTTAGATTGAGAAGTTTAATTTACTCGTGTTAAATTAGACATTGTTTTTGTAAACAAATCTTCAGGTGTGCAACGCAGTGTACGTGCGTCTGAACTATACGCAGCCGCTGTGTGCGTGCCCGGCACGTTACCGAGACCCGTGCTCCGCCAGCTTAAACGCCGACGACCTGCATACCACTCGCCTCACTACGGACTCCAAAAAAAAGGTAAGCACCGGACATGGTGGATAAATAAGCCGCTGCAACCGTTACCGTTAGCGTTAGCGATTTAGATTGCTTCAAATACAAGGCGGGAACTATTAGTTTATCTCTCGTTATCGTAATATCGACGATTTTCTTCATGCTGCTGAGTGTATACGGTGATATGAAAATATTGGTACATATATATAAGCGATGAGTAAGAAAGACAGATATTGGAATTATTCCACTAATTTGTTGTACGCATTACCAACGACAAAGCAACCATTTTTTTGTTTGTTGCGTGGTATCTCGACAACAAAAGAGTGGATGGACACTGACCGAGCGTCTGATTGTCTAATTGTGTAATGAAGGGGGAGGTTCAATCAAGTTATGCAATTCCTGTACACTCACACTTTCTGGTATACCATTGGAGTTCTCGAAACTGACTAACAATATTGTCTTTAATCAGATTGAGGTCACCAATAAGCCTCTTAGCACGCCTTTTCATTGAGTCCAAAACGGCTAGGTGGCATTTTGCAGCGGACGGACCAAACTTGCGATTTAAATAGATTAAGCGGCTGTCTCAGCGTATATATCTTTATAGTTATGGTATATAAGACATTAAAATGGTACCCGAACTACTCATAGTACTCATAATAATCTATAAACTTTATATCACTTTTTTTTTCAGTATGCGAAAAAAGCGGTGACTCTAGTGAAGACATGTGAAGCAGTCTCAGAGATGCGAGAGTGTCGGGCACCCAGGGACTGGTCATTGCTAGCTCTACAGAACATTAGAACGGGAAAATCACACTATTTAGTCATTTGTCGTTGCCCAGAAAGTCATATTTTGGGTGAGTAATATTATGTAAATTTCTGCTAGTAGAATTCATTACATTTATTCAACAATTACAAAAATGTAGATTGTTAAAAAAAAAAAAACAGAGACAAGGACTGCTGACAGAAGTGAAAATGCAATCATATATGTATGCGTATACATGTACACAGGCCGCAACCCACACTAGCGACGCGTAGTAGACATGCGCGCAATACGTCACGAGCATGTCGAGGTCATCGGTGAGGCGAACCTATAACATTTTCCCTACCAAAAATCGCTCAACGCGGCTAAAGAAGTTTTCACTGCAAAAATTAATAAAACTAATGATATGTGATATAGGTTAAAGGAAAACGAGATATATTATATGTATATATATTTATGTGTATGGTATCCTTTACGTCTCACCTACGCATGTAAAGTTGACGATGAGAAATTATAGTTTTCGACAAAATAGGCGAAAAATTACTCAATCGATGCTAAGGACGTGGAACGGGATTTCAAATTGTGCGATCGTTAATACGCCTATTTAGCGTGCAGATTACAATTTGGTAATTCGTCTCGCTGTTGGAAAGGCTTTTGACCAGCAGTAAATTGTTTTTTTTTTTGTGTGATGAAAGTGAAAAATACTGCTTTATTAAATTAAATAACGACAATTTTAAGGGTCAAAACCAAGTTTATTAATAACTATGCTGGAAGTTCAATAGCATTTGTTCAGAGTTTGTCTTGTCATGTCATTATTACACATTTTATAGTATCCTGATCTGTATGTATCTCAATGTATAATATGTATGAATATATAATATGAATGTATAATATATATGTAAGGAAATTTATTATTCAGTTTTCATCAATTTCCAGACGTTTGTATTTTCAGAAATATTGCAGACGTTGAATAAGTATAACTACTTTTAAGAATTTTATCGCATTTAATACTTTTTAATTCCCTTTTGCAGTAATGCACCCAAAACGTCGGGAATTAAAAATAAGAAGTGCTAAACGTGATAAAAAATGTGTAGATTTCGCGTTAATATAGGAAATTTGTTGTTTAAATATTGCAGATACATATATTAAGTACCGATTAAAATACAATAATTTAATGATTATAACCTATTTGTTTAAACTCAAATATTATATAATTTTTGAAATAAACATTGCTTAACAAATATATTTCTGTTATGCACAGAGGGTCCGATGACACACGATCAACCCACCTACGCTTCTGTGCCCGGAATAAGAGTTTATGGCATGATGTGTGTGCGACCATCTCCGATCTATCAGTCTGGTAAATATAACATTTATTTACTTTCGCTTTATAATACATATATCACGAGCAACCAGATTCCGATCAGTTCCGCTGACAGCACTAATATTTTTGTGAAGTAATACATCACGAGAAAACCTTCGTCTTCAAATTAAAAACATTGCGAGGACATGATGTGTAAGATGTGTAAACACTAACACGCATTTGAACAGCGCGGTACACTTTTTCCGCTCTAAACTTTTTTTTTTTATAGGATAAGGGTGACAAACGAGCACACAGTCCACCTGATGGTAAGTGGTTGCTGCGGCCCATAGACATCTACATCTATCCTCTATTACAAATCAAAATGTAGATGCGTTGTCACCCGTGACAACTAAGATGGAACGCTGGTTTTCTGTGAGGTGGTGGTACCACCCCGGTTCGAGCCGGTCCATCCGTGCGACAGCAAAAGCTGCCGCGTGGCTCTACCACTGTTTAGAATTGAGAGTAGTTTAAATTTTAATAGTTTAAACTGTTCTTAGAATTAAGAGGAAGCTTATACCAGCTAAGACCAGCCAGCTAAAACGGATAAAGAAAGTTAGTTAACTTTTTTCATATCTGTTATAACTATGATTAGTACCTACTTGTTATTAGAACAATACACATACATATGAAAAATCACTGACACTTGCTAATTTCACACCAGACTAGTGTTCAATTTACACATTGAAATTTGCTAACGGTTTCTGACAATTATTTACTTGCCGCTCAGTATTGCCTGTATCAATCACAGTAAGTAATTCTATTTTCAGGTTACAAAGGCAATAGATATACAAGTGCACAGAGCACCACCAGCGCCTATAAAGTGGACTACTCCCAACCCCATTCATATTCCGACAAACCAGTCTACAATCGATATCAGTCGCACAGCTATCTCGACTCGAATTATTACAATAGGAGGTCCAGAGCGGCACGAATGAGACGGATGGTTCAAGAATACCCTCCCTTCCCATGGTACAAAGTCAAAGAATTAGCTGAATCTTTACACTGGATCAATTAAAACAATATTCTCATTTAGGAAAAAGTATGTTGGGTTCAAAGAGGTTGTAATCGTCTGCAAGAAACACCTTTTTGAATTCAACGAAAACTTGGATAGAGTTAAACATGCATTTAATTACGAAACGCTTTTAATTAATAGATAGATAAATTCAAACAATTAGGGAGATATCGCAAATCTGGCATTCAGCATATTGCGTGTTTATTGCGCGTGCGAGATTAGTTGCATTTAATAGACTATATGTGTTTGATTTATTTTACACCATCTATATGATATTTAACTATTTTAGTAAGATTGTAATCTCTCTATTTACAGGATACAAAATATTCATAAGACCCATACTTATATCATATAAAATACAAGTTTTTGTAGTTTAAGAAAACATTTATGCTTTTTCCAGAAATACTCAATATTCAACCTGAGGGTGTTAATTAATGTAATCGTAGTAATAATAATATGGTAGTTGATACTCACGTGTAGAAAACAACGATTTTTTTTTCTTCAGAAACTGTATGGAAATGCCAGTAAATGAGGTTTTTATAGTCAAATAGGTAAATCTTTTGTGTTAATTTTTAAATATTTAGAATCTCATTTAACATAAAACGGGAATGGGACCATGTTTCGAAACACCTAGTGGTGTTAAATAACAAATTTAAGTTATCTTAAATGATTGATTGATTGGATGAATGATTTGACGCCTTGATAGTCACTGCACTAAGCGTCTTGATCGCTGCGGGCCTCATGTTAAACATCGGCAGACGGCCGGCCACCATATAGCTTGAAGGAGACAAATGATTCTCGATGTGCAGCTACGCACTGATTTTGGAAAGCTCAGTGTGAGGCGATACCAGATATGTGTATCAGTAGATGCAGGAGCTTCACAGCCGTGCTTTGTGGCAATCCGCACCTGTAATTTTTCTGATGTTGCGGATGTTAATGGGCGACGATGATAACTGATAAATCATCAGGTGAGCTGCCTGCTCGTTTGCCTGCTCTTTCATAAAACAATAAATAGACAACTAGGGCTCAGTTATGCGAGCTGCGTGTTTAAATCCCGTACTGATAAACTATTTTTGTATAATCTTTAATTTGTTCCGAATGGATTCCGAATTTTTTTTATTTTTCATGTGTAATTTATTTTTGTAAAACGTAGTGTTTTTCACATCGACAGAAGAGTAACTCTTATAGCGTAACGTTTTTTTTTAAATGATGGGTCAACTACCGATTGTTTTCCCCACCATCGCCACAGTTATATAGCTTGAAGGAGACAAATGATTCTCGATGTGCAGCTACGCACTGATTTTGGAAAGCTCAGTGTGAGGCGATACCAGATATGTGTATCAGTAGATGCAGGAGCTTCACAGCCGTGCTTTGTGGCAATCCGCACCTGTAATTTTTCTGATGTTGCGGATGTTAATGGGCGACGATGATAACTGATAAATCATCAGGTGAGCTGCCTGCTCGTTTGCCTGCTCTTTCATAAAACAATAAATAGACAACTAGGGCTCAGTTATGCGAGCTGCGTGTTTAAATCCCGTACTGATAAACTATTTTTGTATAATCTTTAATTTGTTCCGAATGGATTCCGAATTTTTTTTATTTTTCATGTGTAATTTATTTTTGTAAAACGTAGTGTTTTTCACATCGACAGAAGAGTAACTCTTATAGCGTAACGTTTTTTTTTAAATGATGGGTCAACTACCGATTGTTTTCCCCACCATCGCCACAGTTACTGTACTAATGCGAAATTATCACAAGTATATAAAAAAAATATTTATATCTTACATGTAAGTACACGAAGTAATGTGATAAGAGTTCATAACTATTTGTGTAGTTGGATGCATTTATAACTATTTAATGATTAGTTAATAGAGTTATTTATAACAAAATAATATAAGTAAGAAATGCTGTGTAAATATTATTGATAATTGCAATATTTGTAATTACAAAATTAAAATTGCCTGAAAAAACTTTCTCTTTTTATTTTAATACTAATAACATTAAGATGAAATACACAACCAAACACAATTTTCCCTGCGAATATATAACTTGAAAAGTACAGAAGTGTTCTAAAAAAGTACTTACCTAATACTTTTTGATCTACGACAATATCGCATGAATACATGGCAGCCATCAAACGCTGAGGTTGGACTTGAAACGCTCTTCTGCATGCTTCTTTCACTGCTGACATAATTTGACCTGCCGACAATAATTAATCACTTAAATTTAAATTGATTTAAATTTAAAAAAAAATCTTAGAAACTAATAACAAAGAATCAGCAAGCGAAATTGAAAACGGGTGGACAAAAGGCCAACCACCATATAAGTGAAAAAGGTTCTCGATGAACAGCTTCGTACACATACCGGGAAGCGCAGTATGAAGCAATACCAGATATGTATTAGGGAATAGATAAAGGTCGCTCACAACCATGCTTTGTGACAAACCATAGGTTACTTTGGATATACCTTTGTTCAGCAGTGGGCTGTAATGAATTATTATTAATGTTAAGTATACTTTTTTTTATAAAAAGTTGATGAACATGATGATGATACTTTAGTGTTGTTAAGAATACTCGTATGTATGAACTCAGTATTTTGAGCGCAATAACATAAAATGTCTGTAATTAAATAAACTGGAAATGACACTGATTCTTTTATACACCACTTCATTTTCAATCTTCAGCAGCGATACGCAAAATTAAATTAAATATAAATAGAAAATATTGGGTGTAAATATATCAAAATAAAAGTTAATTTTTAATTTTCATTAAAATAATTCATTTCATTAAATTTAAATTACTTACTTAAATCAAAAATAAATATATCGCCAGAAAGAGTGTAACTTAAAAAATTATGAGAACGTTTAATAGTGTACTGGTTGTGTAAGAATATCCACTACCCCATACCGTCCCGTGAGTGTCATAAGAGGCGACAGAGGGAAGAAATTGCAGCAGCGTCTTACTAATGACAAAAAATTTTAAAACTGCGGTTGTCAACTCGACTGCCAAGTGTGTCCACAATGGTAAATATAAACCCCCCATGAGGCAATCTAAGGGTGCGTAGAGATTAAGTAACATGTTGTGTAACTTTTGTTTTATAACACTTCCACATTACGTAACATTGTTTTTAAATTTTGCAACATTTTTTTATAGGATAGGGTGACAAACGAGCACACAGTCCACCTGATGGTAAGTGGCCACTGCGACCCATAGACATCTACATCTATCCTCAATAAAGACTCAAGATGCAGATGCGTTGTCACCCGTGAGGACTAAGATGGAATGCCTCTTTGCCAGTAAAAAGGGCCTCCGGTTCTCTACACTCACCATACGAAACACAGCAGTGTTAAGCTGCTATTTTACGCTGGTTTTCTGTGAGAGCGTGGTCCTTCCCCGGTCGAGCCGACCCATTCGTGCTACAACTATACCACTAATATAGCTGCAGCATGGCTCTACCACGTATAAAACATATAACAATACTGTACACATTAGAATAACAATGCAATATAACAATGTTATATGACGTTGTAGTATGACATTGTCGTTTGTCGTTCTGCCGTTCGAGTTATTTTCATTTAGGTCACGTTATATAACACGTTTTATAAAATTCAGCGTCCACATTACTGACACATGTTATATAACCACGTTTTATAACATGCTATGTTATATAATGTGTACGCACCGTAAGGGAGGCCTATCTTCAACAATTTTTTGGCTGTAACGTTAACGGAAAATGTTTAATTTAATAGTTACTACTCTTAAGTACCTGAAAGTGGTCCGAATGTGTGCGTAGTATCTTCTACGTAACTTTTGTCTAGTGTCCACTCTTCAACACAAAAAGCGACTCCCATCATTGGTTCATCGCACAATGGACCAGCCAATGTTGCTAACTGAAATCCATTTACGAAACTACTTTCGTATTCGAATCGTGGATCTTCTTTTATCTCTTCTTCGTGATAGATATATTTAGTTTTATAATCTGTTGTTTGATTGAGGAGCAAATTTGGTCCACAATTTCTTGGACCCACTGACCATATTTGATCGATAAGGTTCTTCCATTCAGGACTCAGTTTATCACAAATGGTTTGTAGATTAGATTTGAAAATCTCTATGAGCTTTAGCATTCGTTCCGATAATTGATTTTTAGTTCCATTAAGATGTAATTTATCTAATTGGCTGTCAAGCTTTTCATTTCTTGATAATCCATGTAAGGTTTTTATGTGTTGAGAAATAGCCTTAAGTAGATCTGTTGATTTATCTAAAAGTTCTGTTATTTCTTTAGGTATAGGCTTCGCTTTTATTTTAATTTTACTTTGTTTATTGCTAGTATATATAGTTATCACAGGAGCCTGTTGTGCACTTAACCCTTTATCTATATTTTGAGAATCTATTTCTTCATTTGCCATATCTATCTTCGGTGGATCAACTATCGTTTCTCTAAACGGTACTATTGGTTCCGACACTGATAAAGGTATTTTTGCGTAAATATTCCTAAAATTGATTAAAAGTAAATTAGTATTTGAGAAGTAAACCCATCATACTATCCCGTGGGTGCCGTAGGGGGCAACTATGGGAAATCCCAGTAAGATTTTCTGGATTCCGATAGATGGCGGTAAGTATAAACTTCTCGTTTAATGAAAGCAGTGTCAAAACGAGGTGTCTTTCTTTTTTCATTCTTTTTTCTTTTAAAAAAACTCTCGTGCTGATATGGCAAATTCGCCTGTCAAATATGATGATTCAGGAAAATCCTTCTACAGTTACAAAGGCTTATGTCCAGCAATGCACTAGTACAGGCTAATGAAGATTGCGATTTATAAGGACCAGGCGCTCGCCTTAAATTGATCAGTATTCAAATAACACTTCAGCCCGCGGTTAAATTCCCACACTACTAACTTGCCGACTGCAATATTAAGATCTTATCTAACACTTGCTCGGCGGTGGGAAATACATCGTGAGGAAAAGGGAGTTTGAGGTTAAAAAAATATTTCGAGGAAGAGTGAAGTGAACATCATATTTTCTGATAAATAATAAAACAAATTATGGAATTATTCGGATAATTTCTAGATATAGGTAAAAGTACTCTTTTTCATCTCGTCCTCTTTACTATTTCTGCGGCAAACTTTTAGACCGGTTTTCGATTTAAAATATATAAAAACCAGTTTAATTACCGGCTGTAAGGCATTCCATCTTAGATTTAATGTATTTTGAATTTGAAGCCTTCTTTTTTTTTAAAGTTATTTGCAGGTGTCCATGGGCTGCAGTAACCACTTACCACCAGGTGGACTGTAAGTTTCTTTGTCACTTTAGTTTTATGAAAAAAAAAACTAGGTCTATTACAATATATAACTTAAAATCTACATGAACTGGTAAGAAATATATGAAAGAACAAAGAGTTGAAGACAAAAGCTGTCGATAGAATTACTATCTTTTAAGCCTTATTTCTTCTCGCCTTAGTAGTGATTATGGTAATGTGAAGCGAAGCGCAACGCGTCATTCTGTACACATACTTCAACATTTTTAAAAGTATTCACGCGGATAGTTAGATACATTCAAAATTATTTGATAATGCTAAACGCGCATTTAGGTTAGTGTAGGGAACTTCGTATCGGGCTGTTTTTTGAATTTAAATTCATTAATCACTTATCTTTGTTCATTACACGATATATTACTATAAACAAAAATCGCCAAAAATGGTTTTACTTAAAGCCGTAGAAAAATTACAAAATATAATAACTAACTTTAAATCTTCCAAACATCTCTGAAGATGAACTTCACCGGCTGTGACTAATACGTGCTCGCCAGTTTCCTGCAGCAATACTTGCACACATGGATCTGATTGATTAAGAAGTTTGAGCCCTGAAAAGTATTCTTTATAAGTAATTGTGTCGGCACAACATAAACATCCAAGGCATCAGCGTGGCTTTGAGGTCAGCGTATAGGCCATATTACAGAGGTTGGGTTTTAATCTCAATCGAGCTAATATTAATGCTCAAACCCAAATTGTTGGTTTAAGGGTCTGAATACGGTCATCCTCGAGCTGTCACATACGCACCATTACCACGCACATGGACGCTAAGTAAATTGTTTGCGTTTACGCATCAACTTTATTAAAAATAATACAGGTTGCTATAATATAACAATATATACTCTATTTATAATAACATTAGATAAAAGTTAAAAAGGTTCTTTATAAGGCACACTTAGTAACAAAGGTATAATCTGGGGGCTACTGCCGTGCCCGCCAATTCGAGCAAACAAGCGGCACGGCTTCAGGCCATTTCGACCCCCTATAACTTCGTTGTGGATAAAACTAGAAGCCTGAATTTTCAGTAACCAAGCATGCATTGTATAAACACGGTATATTTCAAATTTCATTCAATTTGAACCAGTAGTTTAAGAATTATAACTAGTCAGTTTCTTAATTTTGTCATTCACTGACTGACCGATCATCAAAACTCTAAGGCACTTCTAGCAGACGTAGAAGCTTCAAATTTAGAATTCAATTAATATTTAGTGTATAAATCAAGAAAAAAAAAATCTTTAGCAATTTCGATCCAGTTTTCTAGATACACCAACTGCATAAATAACTTTGTAATCCTATATAAATATATAGGATTACAAAGTTACATTTGCAATGGATGAATCAATGTACGTGTATATGTATCATATAATGGAACAATAGATGTAGTAGATGTAGATAGGTACCTAGATATAATTATGTTCAAAGCTAACTTGTAAATGGAAAAGCAAGAATGGGAATGGTGTTATGAAGTTGTACCAAAATCCCGTAAAGTATTAAGTAGACTAAATTGTTTGAAAATCCGTAGTTGGTATTCAAGAAGTAGAAGGTACCGGAAAGGAAAAAATGTAGGACTATCTACAAAAAGAAATGAGATGCCATTAAAAACATAACTTGTAAAAAAACCAAGTCTCGCAACTCATTTCTTCTACCGTCGGTTAATTTATTCAGTCCCTACTTAAGGGTCCTTCTGTCTCAAGTTATTACTTAATTAGCTAATTTAACAACATCTTATAGCGACCATATCAGTATTAAAATTTTTATGTTTTGAATACATAGATTGACTTGGCAATCGCACTAAATAATCAAATTTAATATAATATGTATTACTTGTGAGATACATTGTGTTTTCATGCGATGGCCAAGTCAATCTATTTATTTAAAACATAAAATATTACTCCTTAACACTAGGTACTCCTTAACCTATACATTAACCGTAGAAGCTACACGTAGGGATCATAAAATATTTGTAAATATTGTGATGTGATTTTCTTATTAACAGGCGTATTTCGTGCAACTGTGTGCAATATGCTCAAAGAGTACAATTTAGAAAGTCGCCTGCAATCTCCTCCTCGCTACAGCGAGGTCGGCGATCAGGTCCTCACTCCATCTAGTGAAGGGTCGCCGAACACTGTGCTTGAAAGTTAGCTGCCAGTGGAGAATCTATTGTATTATAGTAAAATGAAAAAGAGAGAGCAACTTTAAGCATTTCTTAAATTGATGTCGCTTTTTATGAGTAAAGCTCAACACACACGGTCAGTTAAACTGATCAGTTAAAATGAAAGTAAACAAAAACGATTTCCCCACTCACTGGCTTCAACCCGGCCTTCATTTCTCGATCGACAGGACCGCACATATACGTGCGTTATTAGATATCTGGCTCAATTTGGCTAGCCAACCTCTCACCGCGTAAGTTAGTTGCCGGTATTTTTTAAATAACGTTCAACTGATGATTTTTCACACACGCTCAGTTTTTGGATGTACGTCAATTCAACTGATCAACTGACCGTGTGTGTCGACTTGTCGAGCATTAAGCCGTAATTTATCAAGCAGAATATTGATCAAATGACAACGATAGTCAAATCTTGCGAAGTAAAAAAAAAGAAAAGTTCTATTATACCTTATATTATATAAATTATATTGAAGCTATTGTATGCATTGAAGTAAGACCAATATTTTTTTCAAAAGCAGTAACGTTCAACTGACAATAAACGTTAACGTAAACTATATCGATTAATGGGGCCGTTACAGAGCACTAGCGAGATATATTTATTGTTATTGGTGTGATATGAGACAGAGAGAGAGCATGTAATGACAAAATTAACCTTAGAAATAGCAAAAAGAGTCAAATTTCCACCGCTAAATTTACTTCTCAGTATTTATATGACTGCCTAGTCTAGTCTAGTGGTCGACAATTTCTAATTATAAGGTCTTGAGTTCAGATTCCGGTCGCTACAAAAGAAATCAGTTTTGGGTTTTTCTGAATGAATTTCTTCAAAAATTGTAACCCCGGAGTCAGGAAGTTGTAGGTGTTTCACCACCGTGTCTCAGAAAGCATGTAAAGCCGTTGGTCCTGCGCCAGATCTCTCTCCGGTTGTAACAGATATATAATAATAAAGAGACTACTCCAAGTGAAGACATTTTATTTGGCCTTTATTTGTCAGATACTACAGTTGAGTATTTTAGTAATATGAACATTTTTTGGAAGCATTAATCGTCAGGATTGGCACGTAGCATAACCCTCACAATGCCAGTCGTTTCGACTCCCGCACCTTTGTAGCTGCACCTCGCCGCCAGTTTGTGTATTTACACCTGGCGTAAAATGATTATTAGACCGCCATCGATCAGACGCCATAAGAGCCACGCTGCAGGTATATTATGGACGCATTGAAAACGATGAGAGAAAGCAGTGTTAAATTGCGTGTTATTAAGACACAAATAAGTATTTGTTTTACTTTTTTTTTGTATGGGCTATAAACTGCTGAACTATAATAGTGATCTTTGGGCAAGTAGTTAAATTATCGAAAAGCACTTTAAGCTCAGTTTCTTGCTGCTATCTCCAAAGCCATAATAACGTTATGGGAAAATGTTAAAAATAAAAACTAAAGGTCTATTAATTTCAAGTAAAACAAGTCTAATCGCTTCACAGTCATGGTTTTGTTGTAAAATGATGTGGAAGTAAATAAAAAATGGTCCTGGGTGATATATTTAAACAATAATATAAATAAAAATGTTTGATAATTAAAATAGAGAAAAACATAAGTGTATTTTTTTGTAATAAAAATATTGACTGCACATTTTACAGACCAATTATAGGAAGGGACTTTAATAGTGGCCTTCGCGATTACCAGCGCTTATTATCCGCCTGCCCAGTGTGTTTATTTATTAGGGTTTGGGTCCCGGGAAGTATCGTGTCTCGAAGTCCCGGGACTTTTCGTAATTTTAGTTGTCTCGAGTCCCGGGACTTTCGTGTCGAGACTCGAGACGAGACAAGATTGTTGAAATTGTTATGTAATCATTTTTATTTTCAAATAATCGAAGTATCCTAGCACCATGTGTTAGTTTAATGAAAAATTAACTACTGAGTACGCAACACAATAAATGAAACAAATATGTGATTATGAGGATTAACAATGAGATTATGAACTATTATTAGATAATAGAATTACTAGATAATAGTAAAGTTATTAAGAATTAGTATGATTTTTAACTAAGTTCGTTTCATAACTATAAGATTTAACTGTTTAGAAGTGCATTTGTGTGTGACTAAAAGAAATAAACAAAGCAATTATTAAGGCTAAAATTAACGTTAAAGTTGTTTAATTTTCAAATTTTCACCCTTCTACGATCAAACCATTCTTTTTAATCGCGATTTTTAAAAGTAAAAAAATATTTCCTAGAAATAATGTATATGGCAAAACAGCCGGGTCAGCTAGTTGTTTAATAAATGTTGATTTTTACAAAAAAATGCCTTCTTTTCTCTTTTTAATACGTTTCACCAGAAATTAACTCAATTATAATTCTACAAAACAGGCTTACCCATCTTAAAAAAACAAAAAGTATTTCTTAAAAGTCTCGAAGTCCCGGGAATTCCCCGGATTTGATTTGATTGATTATAGGCTGTCCCGTGTCCCAGGACTTTGAAATCGTCGGGAATTCCCAAACCATATTATTTATGGATAAAAAAATCCAAGCATGCATACTAGCTGGCTAATTCTTGTAAAAGGCTATGTCTAGTGGAGTGGCCAGGGTCAGAGAAGTACCGCCACTGTGTTTGAACAACGGTAGAGATAAAAAATAAGAATATGTATAATATAAGCAATGTATTTGATTGGTAGGTTAAGGTGAGGCTGGGGGAGGTCCTTGGGCCACCCTAAAGCCGCGTACATTATAATGAAATTGTTAGTAAATCCAATTGTGCATGCCTTAAGCGTATTAAAAAAATTACGTATAACATGATTATACCAACATTTTTAAAGTAGTTTAAATACAAGTTTTCACTAATAACCTTATAACTATACTTCCAATTTTCCGATAATTTTATGTCAAACTTCAATACAAAAGTTTGGATAATCCAAAAGCGCACGACTCACAATGCTCATATGATAATGAAACAATTAAAAAATGTAAACTGTAGTTCTATTCGTCAAAGAGTTCCAGAAGCAGTCACCGAAGTACGCTTTCAAGTCTCTCCGTCAAGTACAGTCAAGTAAGGTCTATTCATAACTAACAAAACGAGCCCAAACTCGGCACATCTAGTTCTCATCGTCGAGGAGTTCCAGTAGCAGTTATCAAAGTCCCTCTTCAAGTCACTCTATCAGTCCGGAGGTAAGGTTTCATTGTAACTAACAAAACGGGCCCAAAATAGGCACACCTATTACTACTAGTCGAGGAGTTCCAGTAGCAGTCATCAGAGTACACTTTCAGATAACTTTTTCAAATCCGGAGGTAAGGTCTCATCATAACTAACTAAACTCGGCACACCTAGTTCTACTCTTCGAGGAGTTGCAGTAGCATTTATCGAAGTACACTTTCAGGTTAAATGTCGACTGCGCCCTAGGCTAGCCTAGCACCTCATCTAAATATACTAATTTTATAAATTAAATATACTCATTTTGCAAATAAACTATATTATAATTTATAATATAATTTAATAATTGCAAAATAATTAGGATACGAGTACCATTAAGAGAGAGTAAGAGAGATTTGGGAGTAATCAAATAAGACGATTTTTTTTTCGTTTGAAAACTCCCGCGCGCTCCTCTTTAACCTTATGCTCCTAGGCACGTGCTTAGTTTGCCTTAAAGATAACTTGCCACTGGTTGGAGGTAAGGTCTCATCATAACGAACAAAACGAGCCCAAACTCAGCACACCTATTACTATTACTACTCTTCGAGGAGTTCCAGTAGTATTCACCGAGGTACACCTTCAAGTCGGTACACCTTCTGACACAACGAGCACAATCTCAGTACATATAGTTCTACTCGTCGAGGAGTTCCAGTAGCAGATATCGAAATACACCTTCAGGTCTCCATAAAGTCTAATACGTATAATTATATTTATATATAAATCCTGCGTACTTTTAGCGAAACAAAATATTGTAATAAAAATCTTTGATTATAAAAGTAATAATTTTAAATAATTACCTTGGTCAAGTATGTATCAAATTTGGTTTTTGGAATATTTTGTATTTCTAAAGCGACCGATCTAGCACGAACCGCTGTAACAAACGACCAATCACGACGGCTGCTGAGCCCGGAATAAAGCAAAGTGGAGCAAAGGGAGTGAGGCAAAGTGTATTCAGTAAAATAAATTAATACAAGGCTGCTCAAAACACCGAAAATTTCGCTATTTCGCAGCCGAAAAAATTAATTATAACTAAAGAAAACAAAATTAAACTGCAATTTACATTCCATGGCTTCCCACATGATAGATGAAGAGTTTAAAAAATTGATATTTTCAAAAGTTATCGTGTTTACGCCTCCATACGGACTTGATAAATCTACACCTTATGCCACTAAAACCGCTTTTTTATGTTAAAATAACAATTGATCGATTTAAAAAAAAAATAAGTTCAACAACCATTTATCTTTTTGACAATGTGCTTTTTATATAATTTATATGTTCAGTATGATTGGAATTAAACGTTGGAATCTTGATTTTTAGGCGCTAGTAGAACATACGCACTTTGCACTTAAGGTATGCAAAAAACAGTTGTTGTTACCTTTGACAAGTTGAGGTAGTTGCGAAGGGTAAATAGGTTCGATTGCTACTCTTAATATTGGTACAGCTGCGTACTGAATTTCGGAAAATGCCGGGCACGCTATTGTACTACTTAGAGTAGCGGTCTTTAGTATATGTTCGTCCAGTCCACCAATACCTGCAACAATAATAAATCTTATTTAACTGACAAATAAAACATTATACAGTGTCCGGCACAAATGACGTTTCACTGCGATTTCTTTAAATAAATAATCTTGAAATTATATTTGTGTTTATTTTCGGCCAGGAACAGGTCGCCAAAGACCCTACTCCTTACACTAGCAATACTACGTAACAGGGCCATGACTGCTGTTGAAGTCAGGAATCGCCTTTGCTGAAGTTCGAGATGTGCATGGCAGGACTATGACGAGACGTGGCCCAGAGCTTACCAGGCAGCATCGAGTCAGTAGACTTGCATTCGCACATATAGATGTGAATTGGGATATGGAACAGTGGAGCCAAGTACTGTTCACAGATGAGTGCTGCTTTTGCTTACGAGTTTTGTTTGTCGGATATTCTTTGCGAAAGAATAACTTTAATAACAGTTATCAATAAGACATGATACAAAAAAAAATTAAGACAATTAATTACTTAAAATTGAAAGTAAGTCGTGTTTTGTGCCGGTTAGTGTATATGAACATGTTCTGGAATATTCACCATTTTTTGAGAAGAATAACCAAAAATAATTTAGGTCTATTTTAGAACATGATATGCCTTCTAATTTTTAAAAGTGTTTATCTATATACTCGTCAACAACTTCGACAGTAGCGTAGTGCTCCCAACAACTACCGGCATAGATGTGATATGGACGTTAAACACGATCTTTGTCTTGACCATGTTCATTTTATTACCTATACGCCGGGAGACAATATTGGCGTCATTCACACATCATTGAGCACAGTACTAAGTTCCCATCGATTCTGTCATAATTATTATGTCGTCGGCAAATCAAAGTTGAGTGATGAGTGTTAAAGAGTATATTTTTATACGTGGTAGAGCCATGCTGCAGCTACGTATATATATTAGTAGTATAGTTGTAGCACGAATGGGTCGGCTCGACCGGGGAAGGACTACACTCTCACAGAACACCAGCGTAAAATAGCACCTTAACGCTGCTGTGTTTCGTACCGTGAGTGTAGAGAACCTTAGATCCTTTTTACTGGAAATGAGGCATTCCATCTTAGTCCTCACGGGTGACAACGCATCTGCATTTTGATTCGCAAACGAGCATAGATGTAGATGTCTATGGGCCGCAGCAACCACTTACCATCAGGTGGACTGTGTGCTCGTTTGTTAGCCTTATCATATAAAAAAAAACCTAAGACAAATTGTCGTACTAGGTAAGTCCAACCTCGACCGAGAGGTCAATCGATGGATCCAACTCAGGTGGGCAGTTTGCGGAATGTTTCGGACATCTCGTCACGTATAACACCTCAAAACTTGAAAACAAGAGTGTATAACCAGTGCGTGTTGCCAGTGTGTGTTGTAATGATTTTTTTAAAGAATAATGGTGACAAAGGAATACATAGTCCACCTTATGGTATCTATCCTCCGTTAAGACTCAAAAGGCAGATCCGTTGTCACCCCTGAGGACTAAGATGGAATGCCTCGTATCCAGTAAACAGGGTCTCTGGTTCTCTACACTCACCATACGAAACAGAGTAGCACTAAGCAGGTCGAGCCGACCCATATTATTGCTACAATTTGACTTAAGAAAAAAGTGTGGTAACTAACCTATTATATTGCCAGCTACTGCTTCATCTATTTCTTCTAATTCCCTTCCCATTAAAATATACAAAGACTTAATTCTGTAACCAAATTAAAATTGTATGTAACATTATATATTATAAATATAGAATAAAACTGCAAAAGGAAACAAAATAACAGATACCCACTCGGCTATAGTTATATGTTCATCACTATGTAAGTCTTTTAATTTCTTATTGGCATCTACTTTTAAATCTATGAAACTTAATGCCTTTGATGGATCATGTTTTGGACCTAATACATATACTTTATCGGATTTTTTAACTTTACCACTGAAAATTCTAGCAAAGGCTATAAATGCAGGTTGATTTTGATTTTCCCTTTCAATTTCATCTTCAACACCCTTTTCAAGATTATTGTCATTTTCTGCGTCCTTCACTTCAATATTTTGCGTAGTTTCTAAATTAGCATGATTTTGTTTTTGTTCTTCCCGTATTTGCCTCGCCCTTTCTCTTCTTAAAGACATTTCTTCAGCGGTCAACGCCTTAGGTCTATTTTCCGGTAAAAACTTTTTTTCAAAACTAAACATTTTTGATACAAAAATAATTAATGGTCTATCGTCACTACTATCACAGGCTAAAAAGTCACTTTTGAGTTTTTTGGTTTCAGCGTGATAAGATTCAAAGTCACGAATTTGTGAGCACATTAATTTCTCAACCTTTTCGGGTGATATTTCTTTTGGTGAAGGTAATTCTTTGCACACCATATTAAGGACTGTATATGATAAGGGCAACCACTGCATCATCAACGATTGTAATTGAATTCTGCTATCTGTATGCCTGAGATCTCGAGTTGTAAGTTTTATTCCGAGTTTTTCACAAATAACAGGAACTTTTTCCTTTTCATTTCTTAAAATAACTGTCTCGTAGACATTCCATAAATTGTCAAATATAACTTGTACAAATAATGGTTTTTTTGCTTTCTCCTGTGCGCCTTTCATAAAACGCTTTGTTTTAGTATTTAAATAAAAATCTCCCCATAAAACTCTTCGAAGAATATCCTCTTTAACTCCTGAAAGAGATTAGTACTTGAAACATATATCGTTAAGTATATTAACATAAATACTACTTGTTAGACATTCAATAATAGACCTTAAAATTGTCCCAACTATTATCAGATGGACTTTTTGTTCGTCATCCCAAAAAAATAAGAGAGACAGACAGAGTTCGGACAGATTAATGAGCGCAAAACAAAAAAACTCCAAGCACTGGTAAAGATAACTTGAATTTTTTATACTTTAGAATTTTGGTTACACTTACAAACAAACAAATAATATATCTTTATTAAATTACGACTGGACAAAAAACATAAAAAAAAATATTACATAAAATATCCTGTTCGAGCACTTCTTTTAATCCCCATAGTAAAACAAAACATCTAAGATCTCTCTACGGCCTATTTTGCATTTCGATTTAATTAATTTATTTATAGGTGCGACATGCTCATTATAGAAATTTTTCATAAATAAAAGATCAGAAGTCCAATTTAAAATTCGACTCAAAGCTGCTACAGGTGCTAAGCATAGACACCACAAAACGAGTAAAAAGTGCCAGTTTCATGGTGAATCCATATTATGAACTCACCCAACGTATGTCGCACCTTTAAACATGTTAATACCACGAAGGATGTTTCGAGATCTTAACATCGGGCACAAATATAAAAAAGTACTGTGTTTATTGTAACTCCAACAGAACCACAACGGGCCAATGATTCCTTCTCAGCCGACTTCCAATTGGTGAGGTGCAATTGATGAAATGCTTAACTCTACAATAAAGCATAAAAAACCTTGAGACGAGATTTGTGAAAACTAACACTCTTCAGATCTCTGAAATTATCAAGGACTATGAATGAAAGTGTTTCAAATACAAATGGCGTAATAACCAACAACGTTAATGAGGTACAAAATATCAAGGAAAGATGTTACCAAAACTTTACCCCATGTAACAAAAAGTTTTAAACGCAAACACTCCGATAAGCGTGTGCCTCTAAGGAAACACCAAAGATATCCCAGAGTTTCAACATCATCATTATCACCATTACAGCTCATGACAAATGTATCCATGCTGTATATAATTAAAATTGCAGTTACTAACCCGCCTGTCGGGCGTGGCAACTAGGGCAAACATAGCACAGTCTTAAACAACTTAAAAAATAATTAGGCGCCAGGGGAAGATTACATTTCCATTGAGCTACGAAAGGCAGGTAATACATAGGTAAGGTCTTTGGAAACATCAAAGGACTAGAGAAATTAAAACAATAAAAATAAAGTGAAGTTTGTCATAATAATTATTTTTTTTATATAGAATAGGATGACAAACGAGCACACGGTCCGCCTGATGATAAGTGGATTTTGTGGCCCATAAACATTTACATTTATCCTAAATTAAGAACCTAAATGCAAATACGTTGCCACCCCTAAGGACTAAGAATACCTAGTTTCTAGTAAAAAGGGTGTCCAGTTCTCTACACTAACCGTACGAAACAGCAGCATTGACCTGCTATTTTACGCTAGTATTCTGTGAGAGCGTGATCCTTTCCCGTTCGAGCCGACCCATTCGTGCTAAAACCATAATATAGCTGCAGCATAGCTCTACCACGTAACGAAACTGTGAGGATCACAGTAGTTCATCAGCTTGGAGAAGTTTTATGAAACTTGCTTAATATATCATTAAACAACCTAAAATGTTTGCATGTGGGTCAAAATCCAAATCAAATAAGCAAACTTCTAGGTTCTACAACACAGTCTTCCAAGCAGACTTTATAGAAAATTCTAAAATGTATTTTGAGGTCAACAAACCAACAATAAAAAGACGGACCCATCTCGACAGGGCCCAGCTTCGATCACGCCACATCTTCGTCACGTATACCTCAAAACTTGAAATCAAGAGTACAACTAGTAGACACTTAGAAGAAACTAGTGGTAAGTACACATCATACGCCTTTCCCCGATTAAAAAAAATATACACATGCTTAAGTTTCACATAAACTTTATAATAATGCTATAACCTTACCAAGTTTTTCAGAAAATAATTTCGCAAATGTCTGTATTGTAAAACCCCATCCATCAATGGCACTGGCAAATACTACATTCCCCTGTTCAGGTGAAAAATAAAGCATTGAATCATCTGAATCTTCTAGTGCTGAAGTCCAATCATAAAAATTGTTATCTTCATTTGACTGTTCCTCGGTCAAAACATTTGGTATTTTTTGCTGCAAAAATAATTACTATTAAGTCATAACATAATGTTTATCATATCAATTAACAGTATTCATCAATTAACTAGTCACATTGATCTTTAACTGGCGGAATTTCAGTCAGCCACATTTGAGGTTATGTAGTAAATATTCAATAAAAGGCGATTGCATTACAGAGACCGACAGAAATAACATACTCGTAAAAACTGGCCATGCGGTCAAAGCAAAATTTTTCAAAGCCCGTCGTATAAGAAACCATAAGGCCTGAATTCCTCCTACGCTGACGTCGGTCGCGCGTACTTATGTACATTGTATTCTATATAGCCCTACACTACCCTACACGACGCTGACGACAGCGGCGCGTAGTTTGCTACGTACGCGTACGCGACCGACCGTACGCAACCGACGTCAGCGTAGGAGGAATTCATGCCTAAACTCAACAATCACAATCTTAATCTCATGGAAGTTAGTCAGGAAATAAAACTGCAGTCATCAGAACCAAGGCTCCAAAGTCTTTGCCAGAGGCTCGGTCCGCCGGAAAGATCAAAACGTCAAAGATGAAGGCAACAGTAGTCGTCATTTGCGGGACACCCGAGATTATGAGTGAGATTGTAGGGTTTTACGGATAGTACTCATCTACGTTAGAGCCACACGCAAGTGTGAGTGACAACTTAAAGAAAGTGTCATCCTACAATACTCTATCGTAATAACATCCAGATCCCGGGTAGGAATGGAATTACTTAAAGTCTATTAGAGGCTCTTCAATTCCTTCCTCCATGGAGACACTACGCTGAAGGCGTTGTAAGTGTGGTGATTTTGTCCTTCAAGGTGGACTGAGAATTAAGCTCTGAAGAATGCTCATTAATACCTCAATAATATAGAAGTGGGGGCAAACGAGCATGGAGCTCACCTGATGGAAACTGTCGCCACCGCCCACGAACAACTAACAAAAACAAAACTCCAGGGAAATTGCAAATTGTTCTATTAAAATGGAAAACGTTTGTAAATGCATTTTAAATTGATACCTGTTTTTCAATGAAATTTTCTTCGTTCTTTAAAATATCAGATGCAAACAATTCTCCCATAACAGCATTGACCTGCTCCAGCACTTGACTTATATGGACATAAGCATCAAGAGCTGTCATTTTCATTTCTAAAATCAGCCGGTCAATTTTGTTTAATACCAGTACTGCCTTTATATTTTCCGAATATGCTTGTTTGAGTGCTAATCTTGTTTGCGGACAAACACCTTCAACGACATCCACCTAAAATTCGTTTTTTTTAAAATAAAATATAAAAAAATATATATAGTAATAATAAATAATTTTAAATTGTCATTTAAGAGTAATAAACCAACCAGCAAGTTACCAGGTTAACCAATATTAGTTTAGTTTCTTTTTAATAGGATAAGGGTGACAAGCGAGCACGCAGTCCACCTGATGGTAAATGGTTGCTGTGGCCCATAGACATCTCCATCTATGCTCGTTTGCAAATCAAAATGCAGATACGTTGTCAGCTGTGAGGACTAAGATGGAATGCATCTTTTCCAGTAAAAAGGGTCTCCAGTTCTCTACACTCAACATACGAAACACAGCAGCATTAAGCAGCTATTTTACGCTGACGTTTCTGTGAGATTGGTATGTTTGAAATTGCACAGAAAGCTTGCATAAGTCATTATAATATATGGTAGCTCCTATAATGGTCCCCCTCTGCAGGCATCATGTAATATAATATTGATTAAATACAACTTTATGTAACCAGACTAATCAATATTGATCTTTCCATAAGGTTGTTTTAAAGATAATTTGTAGTCCCTTTGTTATAATTTATTTTGTGGCTATATTTATCTTAGTTTATCATCATTTATATAGGTACATCATGTTTGTTCATCATTACAGCCCTTCACAAGTTCACTACTGAACGTAGAACTCCCCCAAGGAATGCCACAAAGCAAGGTCCTGAGCCACCTGCATCCATCGACTTCCTGCATATCTTACCAGGTCGTCACTTCATCTAGTGGAGGGACGCCCTACACTTCGCCTGCCGGTACGAGGCTGCCACTCGAGAACCTTTTTTCCCCATCGGTTGTCGGTTCTTCGAGCTATATGGCCGGCCCATTGCCACTTCAGCTTACTAATCCGTTTGGCTACGTCGGTCACTCTGGTTCTCCTGCGGATATCCTCATTTCTAAGTTTATCACGCAGAGAAACTCTGAGCATAGCCCTCTCCATAGCTCGCTGAGCGACCTTGAGCTTTCTCATCCGGCCAGCAGTGAAGAACCACGTCTCAGTTCCATAGGTCATCACTGGCAACACGCACTGGTTGTACAGTCTCGTTTTCAAGTTTTGAGGTAAACCTGACGAGAAGATGTGTCATAATTTCCCAAACGCTGCCCAACCGAGTTCAATCCGTCGATTGACCTCTCGGTCGAAGTTGGACTTACCTAGTCGGACTATTTTTCCCAGCTAAACATACTCGTCAACAACTTCGAGCTTAGTGCTCCCAACAACTACCGGCTTAGGTGTGACATGGACATTAAACATGATCTTTGTTTTGTCCATGTTCATCTTAAGACCTATCCGTTGGGAAACACTATTGAGGTCATTGAGCATAGTGCTTAGGTTCTCCAGCGATTCTGCCATAAGGAACTATATCGTCGGCAAATCGAAGGTGAGTGATGTACTCGCCATTGATAGTGATACCGTATTCTTTCCAGTCCAGAAGCTTGAAAACGTCTTCCAATGCAGCGGTGAATAGTTTAGGGGATATGACGTCACCCTGTCTTACACCTCTCTCCAATTGGATAGGTTTCGTACTCTGGTTCTGTACTCGGATAGCCATCGAAGCCCTACTGTACAAGCACTTCAACACTTCGATATACCGACAGTCAACTTGGCATCGCTGTAGGGACTGCAGCACCTCCCAAATTTCGACGGAATCAAAGGCTTTCTCATAGTCCACATACGCCAGACATAGAGGCAAATGTACTCTTCGGACTTCTGTACAATTTGCCGAAGGGTATGTATGTGGTCTATGGTGCTAAAGCCTTTTCGGAAACCGGCTTGTTCGGGAGGCTGGAAGTCATCAAGTCTGCGCACGAGACGATTCGTAATGACTCTCGAAAACAGCACGTAGACGCGGCTCAGAAGGGAAATCGGTCTGTAGTTCTTCAATAGCGCGATGTCGCCTTTCTTGAAGAACAAGACCACCGCACTTCTGCTCCAAGCCTCCGGTGTAATGCCACCATAGAAGACGGAATTAAAGAGCCTCTGAAGGACTTCAAGTACCGGTTTTCCATCCGCTTTCAGAAGAGAGAGTTTTTGTGTTCTTTTGCGGCGGGTCTTGCAAAATTTAGCTCCGACCGCATGGACAGTTTCCACGAGCTTGTCATTCATATCGTCCACTGCATTGCAATCTTCTAGGCACTGAAAACGGTTTCGTAACTCGAGCTGAAAGGTTTCGGGACTTTGGATTAGAACACGAGGGGGACGGAGCGTTGACTTCATTAGATATATTTGTTCATGACCCAGTTTTTTGGGTCTTTTAGGAGTATGAATATTTATTAGATAAATCCAAATCGTATATAATCTAATCTCTATCCTTTGGTGGTGTTAAAAACTATTGATGTAAGAAGCACATCACTATTTTATTTAATAATGTGTTACTTGTGTCAAGTTGACGTCAATAAATTTCTTATTTATTAATCCCTTCCCACTTAGAAAGTCCATACAATATTTTTAAACAACAATTCAGTACTAAACTAGAAATGGGCAATGGCCGTATTACGTAGCTCAAAAAAAACAACAACTAATGGGAAAGTAATGTTCATTATATGGAGTGACGATCTGGTGAGAGATGCAGGAAGTCGATGGATGCAGGTGGCTCAGGACCGTGCTTTGTGGCATTCCTTGGGTAGGCCTATGTTCAGCAGTGGACTTGTGATGGGCCCTAATGATAATGATGATGATAACCCGATACAAAGATTACATCCTGTATTTAATATAACATAAGTGTGGGAGAGGCACATAGATACATATTAAAATTATATGTGTCTTGCAGGGCGGAATACTTTATCCAATAATTTTTTATAAACTTCATCACGAAAGGTTTTTGTATAAGTAATTTGGTTGACGATAGACAAAATAGGGAGTGGTGTGAGGTGTACAAGTGTCATTGTGTTTTTGGCTATTTCTTATTCTGAGAGCTGTTGATTTACTTTTTTGTTTATTATTTCTATTGGTGTTGGTTTTAGTAGTTATAAATCCGTAAGTATTTAGTAATTGTGCTGTGTTATATGTAATTAGTTAAAATAAAATGGAGGAAGATCCTCCCGATCCCGACGGGGTTCCATGTGACTCCCATACTGTTACCAAAAAACATAATAATATGCCTATCGAAATTGATCAGTCGAAGCGTAAAAGATTGCAAGTAACCAATAACTCAGCTCATCCTCAGAAAAGATTAATTACAGATCCATCTCAACCTGTACCATCTATTCAGACCTCTTATACCCATCCTGACTACATAGAAAAAAAACATAAATATTCTAATAACGACAATGCGCCGTTTATTGTTCATGTAAGTAAGAGAGTAGATGATTTATCAACTGGAGTAGTTTTAAAACCGATAAAGTTTGGTCATTTTCTCTACCATAATAATTTTAAAAATGTTGTTAGTGATGGTGTTAAGCGAATAGGACGCAATAGAATTTCTGTAGAGTTTAAAAGTGCAGCTGATGCAAATTGTTTTATTGAGAACCCAGCCCTTGCAGGTGCTAAATATGATACTGTAATCCCTTCCTATAATGTCACACGCATGGGAATAGTGAGGCAGGTCCCTGTAGAGTGGACATTAGAGGAACTCATATCATCAATCGAGGTCCCAGCTGGTTTTGGCTCAATTATTAAAGCTCGCCGATTTAATAGAAAGTCAGTTAATGAAAACCAAAGTACTGTGTGGATTCCCTCTCAAACAGTTGTTTTAACTTTTTCCGGCCAGAAACTTCCTTCTAACATTTATTGTTTTTTCACCTCAATGCCTGTTGAGCCCTACATTTTACCTCTTATTCAATGTCACAAATGTTGTCGTTTTGGACACGTAACTTCACAGTGTAGGTCATCTTCCCGTTGTTTTGTATGTGCTCAAAATCATGAAGGAATATCATGCACAAGACAGTCTCCCACTTGCCTATTTTGTTCAGGATCTCACATGGCTAAAGATCCTTCCTGCCCTGAACACTCTAGGCAGAGATCTATCAAACTTACCATGTCACAGGAAAATATTTCCTATCTAGAAGCATCTGCCCGTTTCCCTCAAGTCCGAAGATCTTATGCAGATGCTGCTAGAATCCTTCCTTCGTATGATCATCAGAGTCTCTATCCTATTTCAAATTCCACTTTACCTTCAGTTGTCCCCTCACAATCTCATTCTTACAGGAAAACTACATTTACTCCAAGACTTCCGCCAAATCCAGCATCAAGTCATGGATATGATAAATCTGCCCATGAGGCAATAATAGAGACCCCTTCTTCTTCAACTACTAATGGTTGTGCTTTAATAGGGCGGAGTATTTCCCCTAATGACAATCTCTGTGAGTTAATGATCTCCATGCTTATAAGTATGCTTTCCCGTTTCAGCGATATGGATCTCCCACTTGCCCTCCGCCAAAAACTTACTGAGCTCGTTTCATTAACAAATAACCTTCCCTCCAATACTTCAGTGGAACTGCCGGAGCATTAATAATAAGAAAAATGAATTAATTTACCTTATTAATAAATACCATCCCCTCATCCTAGCCATCCAAGAGACATGGCTTAAGCCTGGGTCCCATTTTAGGATCTCAGGTTATTCATGCCTCAGGGATGATAGGCATGATGGTCATGCTGGCTCTTTCATTCTTATCTCAAAATCAATTACTTATACATTAATTTCCCTTCCTTCTCATAGTCCTTCAATTAATACTGTAGCAGTTAGAGCTCATAACACTTCTTTTCTCTCTATTTACATTCCCGAACCTAGTTTAAATATCTTGTCAGAACTTAGGAGGATTGTATCCTCCATCCCTCCTCCTATGGTAATTCTTGGTGATTTTAATATGCACCATACTTTATGGGGCTCCCATTTTTGTGATCCCTGGTCTTTTACATTTTTAGACATCATTGATGATTTAGATCTCTGCCTCCTTAACGATGGTTCACCTACACGTAGAGTATCCCCCCTCCAAAATCCTAAAAGTGCAGTAGATCTGTCACTCTTTAACGCTGAC